CACTTGTCATTGCAGGAAATGCAAAATGCTATTTAAGTGACGCCCCACCTCCAACGCTGTCTTTTGTGTTGGACCCTCGTGACTCATGAGTCGGCAAACATTTCTCGTGGCACGCAAATGAAACGCTAACTGCGAGAGTATTTTTGCCAAGTGAGCGTCGGCCTACTGCAAATTAACATGTTAACAAAATTGGCAGTTATCGCACGGTCTTTACTGTCTCTGTCTATATGTCTGTCCGTCTGTCCGACTGTCCGACTGTCTGACTATCTGTGTGTTTGGGGTATTAACAGCAACAACATTACCAATTGTAGATCATGATTTTACATTGGCACTCAAATGACTATTCACGAGATACGAGAGCGCTATCGACATAGGTCAGCTGAAACAGGGAACTTAAGTGAGAAAAACATATTTATGAAAATTGCTCACTTAAATGTTGTGAAGGTGCTAATTAAATGATTGTCACAACGGCAATAATTGCAAAGCAGGTGTGTTTAAAGGTAGCCTCACAAATTGATAAATTATCTAGGGGCAATATATGATTAAGATGCAGCTTACAAAACAGAAGCAGTTGATATCAGAGTTATTATTAAGCAAATGCGTTGCAAATGTTAATTAACAGAAAAATGTTCTCTTCGTTTACATTTATAGCATACCTTGTGTCTCAATCATTTTCGCTGTTAAGAGTGCAGTTTACAAACGAGAAACAGTACATGATAGTGTCGAAGCTGTTAATGATAACATCCCTGCAACAATTGCAGTAGAAATGTTAATTAACAGAATAATGTTCTTTTACATGTAAAACATTCGTCGTTTTGCAATCATTAAAACTAACTGAACTGTTAGTTAATAGTTCTTCTGCTGTTAATGTTAACATAGCCTTTTTCTTGCTTTTGCAATGTCTTATCTTTTCTTTTGATTCTTCATTTTTATAGGCATAATTCCAGCTAATAATTTGTACTTTGACTGCTTCCAATTTCTAATGAAATAATAATCTAATCATATATTTGATATACATAGTGACTTTTTCTATTATTCACATTTTGTGTATTAATAAATCTTCATATATTGCTGACATCCAAAATAATTTGTATATTTATATGGTGTACAATAAACTTCAATGGATATTAGTAGAAACCCTCTTAAAAACACCGCTCAAAGTATTTCCCATTTGCTGATGGATGCTTATCGTGATGTGCAACTGATGGGTCGCGTCCGGATCTCCGCTATGTGAGTGTGTGTGTGTGCGTCCGCATTTAAGTCTGAGCTGCCGGCGAGTCTCAGTCTGGGTGCGGGCAACGCGCCAGTGACACAATTTTCAAGCCAAACCGACTGACAGTAGGGGCTGGCTGCGTTTTTAAGTTTGATTGACGCGTTCGCGATTTCAATTTTTGTATTTCCATATGTACATAGCTCATATATACAAATATTTTTTGTATTTGTTTCTGTCTGATTAAGCTTCACAAAATTCCTGTTATCAGCTTCAATTTCATTGCTCTTAGGTTTTCGCGTTTCGATTTAGCTTTCGCTGCATATTGAGGAAACGCGCTGATAATTGAACCCATTTATAGTCGACTTATAATTGCAGATGAGGTATTTAATTAAGCTGGGTGCAAGTGCTTACTAATTGCAGTCATTTATTAGTTAAGCTGCGTTCTGAAATCTTATTACGTTTATAAGATGAACCACATAAAAGCTTTTCGTTTTAGCATTGCCTTCAATCAGTGCCTTCCCGTTTCTTCGATTCATCCATATGTGTCCTTAATCAAGGCAATGTAATGCGATATTGGCTTTTGCTTTGACACAACTTATCCCCCATTCGAAGTACAATGAACCTTTTTTTTGTGTCGTAAAGTTAAATTTGAATATCAAATGAAAGTAAAACGGAAAAGAGAAACGTAACGAAATTCCTTCCGGCACCATTCGACGTGTGTCATTCATAAAAAAATCCCAAACAATTCGCATTGACAATATTCGGAAAAAAGCAAAAAGCTCCCAAAGAAAAACCAAAAGCAAATCAATAACAACATCAACAACAACAAAAACAAAAGTCACTTCACATGAATCAAGTCATTCATATTGTCACAACAAAAACAGCTAAAATGTAATAAAAGAAAAACATGCAAAGAGATAGCACGACTTGGAGATACTCCTCAGTTGAATGAAGGTTTATTTTGGTTAACGTAACACAATTTTTGAGTTTGATATTTTTGAATCATTTTAATAATTGAAAAAAAAAAAAAAAAAACATTAAATTGGACTTTGCTTTTTTCATAGGCTAACGAAAATCATTTAAGATATAGAACATATACACAAATTTGTGTAAAGATTAAAACTTATCTTATGTTTAAAGGTGTTATAAAAACTAAAAAAAAAAAAAAAAAAATTTAAAACAAAATAAAATAAATTATAAATAAATTAAATAAATAATATGAAATCAAAAAAAAAAAAAAAAAAAAAAAACTCGTGGCCTATATAAATAACTATAATTATTATAATACATTTTGTATGCTAACGAAAAGTAATATATTACGTTTTAGCCATCAACAATGAATACCGGTGCAAAAAGGGGCGTGTGCGCCTCGTTACAATCACATGTGCGTGTGTTGCCAAAAAGAAACAAAAACAAATAAAAAGCGAAAAGCAAAAACAAAATCAACAAATGAAAACTTGTTTTTGTTTTGTTTTTTTTTTTTTTTTTTTTTTTTTTTTTTTTTTTTTTGTTTTTGTTTTATTTTTTTAGAGGTAACATGCAAGCGCCACAACCGCTATAGAGCTATATCGCTATATCGCATTCATTCACATGATTAACATTATTAACAATTATTCATTGATATGCAAATTCACATATAGTTACATGCTATCTCATAATTGCTTCGATTATCTTCTGTTTGTTGATTTTTAAGCTAGATATTATAATTTCTATTATTCAATTAACTGATGGAAGTGCAATAATAAATAACAGTAAAGGTTACCCAATTGCGAATAGTCTAATTGGGGTTAACAGTGAAGATATGACTATATGCTTATGTGTATATAACACATAGATTGAAAGTAAAATAAATAATGCAGAAATTACGCGTTCATATTGGTTACATTATATTACAGGTCCTGTTGTTCGGCTGTCTGTTATTCGGATGTCTGTATACTCGACCAATGTTAAAGAATATGCCCACTTTACAGCTTTACTGTAAATTTCTATAATGTAAAATCTCAATAGATTTTAATAATACTATAAAATCTTAATAATCGGCATATGAGAAAATATTCGCATTTATGTATACAAATATAATTTTTTTTTCTAATTTAATTTATAAAACTAAATTTAAATAATTGATACATTTTTGTTTATAAATAAATTAAATAAATTTTTTTTTTTTTGTATGCAAAGTTTTTATTTTGATATTTATATTTATAGACCTCTAATAAGAATATACTCTTCTTATAAGAATACATTACATTATAAAGCTGTATAAATTTAGCTCACTTTCTGTAAGTTTTAATAACTGTTAGATATGCACGAATAACACTTAGCCTTGACAGGTGCACCCTATACGGAGTAGCTGACCAACTGGCCAGATACTATATATATATGCCATATATATATATACATAAATATATATGGATTGGCATCTGGCGCGTCTAGATGTTTCGTCTGACAATGGCATTTGCATGTAGTTAGCAGAGGTGACTGTTTGAATTGTTAATTTCAGTGGTGAATTGTATGACGAATCCGAACTTGGCCCCAACGGCATTCCAGGCCATGCGATTTCATTAAGAGGTTTTGAGAGAATTCAATTACCATGGAATACAAAAGCTAACAACAAGAGTGGATAGCAAGAAGAAGAATTCATCTTTCATTCGAGCCGAGCTTGGTTGGCTCTTCAGTCCATTTGCATTTGCAGCCGGATATGTGTATTACGACGATTGCCTGACCCACATGAGTTTTGTGCCCCCTGCCCATTGGACAACTCTCAACAAAAGGCCCAACAGCTTATTATAAAAGAGCGTTCGTTATCTTTAAACTCTTTGTTTATCTGAATACGTTGCTTTCTTTGTGGTTGCACAAATGACAAGGCACAATTAATCAGGAAATAATTTATTTTTATACTTGAATAATAAGCAGTATATATATATGTATATAAATATTGCACAATCGGGCGCAAAATGCTGACCTGCTTCATCATCATCCTCATATCTCATATCTAACATCCTCAAAAAACAAAAAAGCAAAACTCTTCCTTGTCTTGTCTTTGACTCAGTTTATTTTTTATGTTTTTGTTTTGTGGCCATAACGAAAACAATTTCCTCTTGTAATATTTTTATGACCTATTGCGTTGAGTGTTTTATGCGTACTTTTTATTTTCATCTTCTATTTTGTAGTTTATCGCTCGCTCATGCCGGAAAGAGTTTTCGGACTCTCTCGATCTATAAAACCGACACAAATATTTATGCTTTTCTTCACTTTGGCTCGGGGATTTTCATTTTGCTCTGCTTTGGAATTTCTCATTTCACTTACATTTCGCTTATCGTATACCCTGTACGCATTGGTTGATTTTATGAGGTATTTCAGTCATACAGAATATCGAGGGTATTCGAGTAGAGTCAAATTTCTAGTAACGTGTAAATTGATTAGAAAATATGAATGAGCCCGGCTAAATTGGTAGACTTTGTTGAAAGCTGTTTACTGATTAAATAATAAATTTGATGCCAAGCTAAACGAAGTTCGGACTAATTGAGTTACAGAAACAACAACAGTTTCCATTAATAAATTAGTACATATTACAAATACTTTGCCTGATGAAAGAAGTCGATCGAAAAGTGAAATTTTATAGTGAATTTGAATTACAAGAAATCTGTCTAGCTGAGGAAAACAAGCTAAACTTTTAATTAGATTTCATTCAGGCTAATTGTAAGCAAATAAATCAATTAAGCTGACGTAGGATAGGCATCTCAATTAATTTAATTAATCCACCATTTCGTTTTCAACATATTTTCAGACTCTGCTCGTTGACAATAACGCGTCTTTCCATCCTGACTCCCCTGCCGGGGGACACGAGCTCGCTTTCGCTGGCGGTCAAAATGCAAAGCTCAAAGCGAACGCTGCGCAGCCACGAGATACCCATCAATGGCAGCGCACTGACATCCATGGCATCCAGCCGGGAGAGCTCCATGCAGGGCAATTCGCCGCTGGCCAATGTGGTTGGGGGCTCGGGTCTGATTGGCACGCCCGGGAATGTCGGTAATGCTGGCATCGGCACCGGCTCCGGCTCCGGCACCGGCACCGGCGCTCTGCCACTGACAGAGACGGAACTAGACTTGCACTTTAGCTTGCAGTATCCGCACTTTATCAAGAGAGATGGCAATAGGTGAGTCAAATCTATATAGGGGACTCGTATACCAATCCTACCATTTATCTCTTTTTTCTTTTTTTTAGACTGGTCATTTTGTTGCAGCGCCGCAAGAAATACAAATCGCGCACAATTTTGGGCTACAAAACGCTGGCCGAGGGCATAATACGTATGGATGCAGTGCTGCAGAAATCGATGGACATGATCATTGAGCTAACTGCATCGGGCAAGAATGGACGGCCCGGCACTGTGGTCGCATGCCTGCGCGCCGAACGCGTCTCCTCCATTCCAGTTGACCATGACAATAAGAACAACAACAGCGTACTGCTGGCAGGTGAGTCATCCAGTCAATCCAAGCAAGCGAAGCAATGCTGCCGTCCACTCCACTCAGCCCGTCCCATCGCACGCAGCCAAGCAAATTATTGCCAAATCCATAAACCACATATCATGATCATCGTCGGTCCAAATGTTGAGAATTACAGCGTTAATGACGTGTGGCCGTCCAGGGTGGGGCAGTTGATGGAGGAGCATGTCTAAATAATATCAGGCGGGCCTTGCGCTGAATGCCCAGATGCACGATGCTCTCTTGTTATACTTGCCCAGTATCTGTATATATATGTATGTGTGTGTTTATGTGTATATTCTTATATCTAAAAGATGATCCCAATTCGAGTTGATGTTTATGGTAATTGTGCTTGTGAAACAATTTCCCAAGTGACGAACGGTTCGTGACGTCAGCCCTGCCCGACGCATACTTTAAATATATTTTTCTATTTTTTCTGTTCTACTTACAATTTGGTCTTGTAATCGTTTTTTCCCTGAATCTCCCCATTTATCTGGGCTGCCGCATCAGCAGCCACATCATCGTCAGATAGCAACAAACAAAATAAAACGCTACAGAATTAGCCATAAGTATTTCATTAAAAATATCTCTCATACACTTGATCAAATTTATATTATTGCCACTCATTGCGTGTGATTCATTTAAAGAGGCATATACGACCACAACATAAATATGTCGCTTATTTATACTATATTTAAGTTTCTGAATAATAAATATCAATAGAACTGTCGTGGACCTCATCAAAAGAGCTTTTACATTAGTGTAAATGTGGTCGAATCAATTTTAAATTTGGAGTGATACACATCGGATACTTTAATAGACAAATATATATATATATATATATATATATATATATATATATATATATATATATATATATATATATATATATATATATATATATATATATATATATATATATATCGGATATTTTATAAATTTCTTTTTATTTCTGGCAGACTTGTTCTGATTTTGTCATTGTAAATTTAAACCGTTTGAAGTACGAGCTTATATCATTATTGCGATAACTCAACACAATTGCTTATTATCGATAACTTTCTTTGGATTAAAAATCGGTTTTTTATTTACTGAAAAAGTTTGAGATTTTAACTTTAGTGGGTATCTTCCTAAGATATATAAAGAGATCTACTATATTTTTGAGGCTTTTATATATCTTTTCTGAAATTTGAAGAAAAAAAAAAATTAAATAAAATAATTAATATATATAAAAAAATTAACAAATAAATCAAACTAAAATTAAAAAATGAAATATATTATACAAGTTAAAACAATATAAATATAAAATAGGAAAATATATTAATAAAAAAACAAATGCTTCGAACTGTAGAAATTTGGTTTATTTGCTCTGCAATATGATAAAAACAAGTCATCTAGAAAAAAATTAAAATATATATATATTTATATTCTCAGAAAGTCATTTGTGTATAAAAAAGAGTAATAACCAGATACCTTGAGCATTCCTAACATAAGCTTTTCTCTTTTTATTTCATATAACTTTGCCAGCTGTAGTTCACTCTGCTAATTCATTAGTCATAGAGCAGCTAATTATTTGCAGAGTATTACGAGTAGTTATTTGTAAAACCACACTGAAATATTGGAGCTATTTTCTATTTTCATACATGGAACACACATCTCCTCTGCTAAGAGTGCAAACATTCAACCGCAATCCCAAGGAATTGTGCACAAATTCAATTATGAGATTTACCAAGAAAATGTATTATTTAGTATTTGTCTGTTCGCAGCTCGAAAGTTTTGCCGTTTTTCAAACTGTTGAGCTTCTCGGCAAAAGTTGGCCAATGCCAATGCATATATGTATCTATGTTGTATATGTATATGGAACTGGTCAAGGCAAAAAGCCCTGAAATGCAAGTGGCATGCACCACGAAATGGCCAGCTCATTGGGGACATGTTGCAGCATTGTCCTTGCAATTGGAATTGTACTTGCACAATGTGGCCGTCGCGTCGCCGGTTGACGGTCAAAAACTTGTCGCTTTCCACTTGGCAACTGGCCCAAAAGTGTTGCCAATTGGGACTTTGCTGTGCTTGGGAGGTCAGCCATGCAGAAGGCACTTGAACCCGGCCGGCCGGGCTGTTGGATAGTTTTCCGCGACACCGCTGACAGCTCGCAAATTACTTTTGGGGCTCGCTTTCTAATTTGCAAAATGAATTTCAGTTACGTGGTGGCGCGGTACGGGGCGGGGCGAGGCGATGCGGTTTGGGGCGTTGTAGAAAAGCCTTTTTAACCTCCATCTATTTTGTCTATTGATTTTTGTGTTGCTTTTGTATTTTATTCAGCGACCTACAAAGGGCTGCCTCCGGCAATTTTGGAAGCAGCAGCTAAGGCGATTGCATAGTCAGCTTGTTGAATGCCACACCCAACGTCAGCCCCAGCTCTAGCCCGAAAATCGGCTAAGGGACATCAGTGCAATTTGTGGGGCACTCCTGTAGGCTAGTTATCTTAGCTTTTATATGCCATGAATTTTGCATAATACTCCAAGGGTTTTTATATTCTATGAATTTAATATAGTCAACGGGGTTTCCTGTAGTTACGTTGCTCTGAACTGAACTCGACCTTGGCGCAGTGATTCGCAATAAATTTTTGACAACGCCTGATTTACTTGGAGGGAAATATGTGTGTTGAGAGCAGACTGAAAATTCATAGTTGTTAATATAATAATATATAATACCCTAAATACATTGAAATAGGCTTTCTAGAGTATAATCGTTTTATTGAAATGTATGTAGCAGGCATACGAATCTTGATCAGGATTAATCCGATATAGTTCAGTCTGTGGGCTAGAGGACATAGAAGACGTAATTCCCAAAGTTTAAAGTTTATTTAAAATAATTCATTACTTTTTCAGTTTGAGTAGAGTTGCATGAAGCATTTCTTTTGATGTAAATATATGAATTCTTTATATTTAAAATAACACAATTCAGTTGTTACTGAAGTGATGAAATGTTTTCTTAATATATATTTTTTATTTTGCTGGCAGATTTACTCTTTGATTGTTAAGATGGTAATTTAAATACAAAAGACTTTTTGTTTATCAGTCGAATTATTTTTAACTTGATATCAAATTGACCTTATATCAAATATTCGTAGGTTCGTCTAATTTTAGATGCGATGACAAGAATATGCATGTGTAAGGGAAAATATGAAAAAGATATCATATATATTAATAGAAATAATACCAATGGGAGAATGTAAAAATGCCAAAAATATATTTTGTAATCAGGGTATAAATTTGAGCTGAGCTACCTCACAATATATATGTATGTGTATGTATTGCATGTGTCGCCCACGTTACGGGCACTCGTAAAAAGATCACTTAAGGCTCTGGCCACAAAAGGTATAAATGATGGCCTAACAACCGTTGCCACGAGCCTTTGAATTTATCCTTGAGCATTACGCAGTTGAATTGCCTGCATTGTCATTTGTAGCTGCTTCTGACAGGAATTAAGTCATTTGTCCTTGTGCGCCAGAGATAAGCACAAATGAAAGAACGAGAAAGCGTAAGCGGAGGCGCAACGACAATATGACGCACAGGTGGACGAACAAGGGTGGCTGTCGGCTGTGGTGCTGCTGCCTCTCCTGTGCTGGGATTGTAGTCCATTCGGGCTACACATACTTATATAGTATATACATGTATATATATATGTGTGCATATTTGTATATATCTTCATCGTTGAGTGTTTAATGGCAAAATGCGTAAATTATGTCGAGCGTTGCTAGGGCGCATTATTGTTCACAGCTGTCATCAGCCTCCTGCCCGCCCCAGCTGGCCCATTTCCCCTCCCGTTGCGGCTCCCGACTCTCATCTAATGGCAATGTCCGCTGCTGTTGCTGCCGTTGCTGCTGCTACAGCATCAGCTTTGGCGCTGAGTTGTTGGCCAAGGTCAAAGTAGTAGCAGTACTTTTTGTGTGCCACTTCTTCTTTTTTTTTTTTTGTATTTTTTGATACCCTGCACACATTGAAATGTATATAGGCAGAGTGCATCTGTATATTATCCAAGACTTAGAATAATATAATTGCATTATCAATTATTCCATTTTATATATTCACTGAGATTTCAATTGTAAACATAATTCGAGGACTACACCAACTTGAGATACCTTCTAATATTCGTGATTTTAAGATATGTATTTGTATCTTATTTATAGTAATGCATATAATAGTAATAAATACATATCGCTTCAGGCTGCAACCTTTATCTTGCCTTAAATGTCTTCAACTGCTATGTACAGGGTATGAGCAGTCGTGCATGCAAGCTCGTACTTTTTAGATGCGTTGTTTATCTGTTGGTTGCCTGCCAAAGCCACAACCATGGAACGTTCAACCACAAAGAGGAACAGCATCAGTTATGTATACACATACTACATATACAATATTGTATATATATGTATAACATATAGATACATGCAATATTTATATATATACACAAACATTAAATCAATGTCGTTCGTCGCTTTTCAATACGATTTTCATTATGTATACGCCGCGTGTTGCGGCGCGTGGGCACCCATAAGTGTGGCATCTGCTGCGGCGTGTGATTCAGGTGTGGCAATTCGCCCCAAACCATATTGGCCGCTAATGATTGCCACTCGAATGTTTGGAAGCAACACTTTGTCTGCCGTTCGCCTGCTTACTTTGAGCAACAGCCCAACCAAATTGCAGAGCTTCATATACATATGTGTGTATGTGTGCTTTAAGATGCGTCGATGGGAAATTTTATATTTTTTCGTGGAAATTTAAGAATTATTACTGAGAATTACCAAGAACTACGGTAAATAAATATTGCATAGAGTATACAGTTGAAGCATATTCCTTTCGCCTCGTTCATGGTCAATAATTTGCAAAATTTGTGCGAAAAGTAAAAGTTTACGGAATTTTATATACATGATTGAAACTTTATTTACATTCAGTTCTGGAAACTTTTTGCATATTTTGTAAGAAAAATGCTTCAATAGACACGCTGCATTTGTGGCCTACATAAAAACTCAATTTAAAAATTCCCTGTAAAATTTATATGTACATAAAAGTTATTAAAAGTGTGAGATGGGTCAAGCTAGATATACATAAATACAATAACAAATTCCAATTAAAGATGAAAACGAAATAATTGCAGTACAGTTGTTGTTCTTCTTTTGCTCAATGCATCCGTGCACAGCTCCAGCAGCTGCTCCATTTAGCAGTGGAATCTTGCTGCTGTTATTGTTGTCTGATCGCCCCACACGCCACTTGCTGGAGATAACAGAAGTATGTACATATATACATACATATGCATGTACATATGTATGCGTTTTGTAGACAAGGAGTACGACTCTGTTCCTGGTTAAGATGCTTGTTTTATAATCACTTGCGCTTCTAATCAGCTAACTGTTTGTTTACTGCTGTTAAAAGTAACACTTATCCACTCAAAGAGATACACAGGCACACACATACACACACACACACGCGCGCCTTGATCTTAGGGCCTCCAACATTTTTGTTGTCCATTTTCGATTCACACGTTTCCGTCGCTCGGGCACGCGATGGGCGGCTGTCGTTGCCGGCCGGTAAACGCTCGATTCGAATTGTGTGTAAATGATAACGGCAGCAAAACATGCTAGAAAATAAATAAATAGTAAAACAGAAAGCAAAACGGCGGGGGCAAACAAACGCGCCGATCGACGAATTACATGCAGACATAATAAGCAATAGGCAGATGACGGGACAATGACAACGGCAGAAATCTAATCAGACTTTTTCTTTCGTGCACGCCGAAAGCCCAAGCTTAAATGGTGAGCGAACGAGCGAGCGAGATGGGGATAGAAAGTGCGCTAACGAGAGTTTTGAAGTTTCTATAAATACATACATGCACATGCATATAAATATGCGTGTGTTTATGTATGTATGTCTGCTCATCGATGAGTATTTCTTCAATTAACTGAATCGATGCGTAAAAATAACTTTAATAACCGTTTGCCATGCCCCCGCACGACTCGAGAGCTTTCGTACGAATACATACATACAGACATATGTATGACGTATAATAACGCATGCAGTAGTGTGACCTGCTCGAGGGTAGTTTGATCAGTATTGATAGCTCTTGGTATGTCTTATTTACATTTGAAAGTTTTTTCATTATTTTTGTGTATATTTAGTATTTTTTTCTTGTACTTGGTTAGTTAGAAAAGGTATAAACATTTTGAATATAGATAAATTTAGATACATATATGTATGTATTCGTACGTATTCACCCATTAATCATATATGTATATATCTATAGAGCTTATAACAGTTGGATCGACCCTCGCATATACCTAGGCGTTCGGCCGACAATTTCTCGCAATGATTTCAAACAATTTCCCCCAGTGCGCGGCCAGCTCATCGTCCATCGCTCATTGCCCACTATTCGCTGTCCGCTGTCCGCTGCCCGCTACCCCTCCCACCTCTGTGTCTGTGCATAGGTGAGAAAGTGGCGCGCTCTTTGCAGTTAACGCTGTTGCTCTGCTCTGTCTCAGTCGCTGTCGCTGTCGTTGTCTGTGCTCTGCTCTGCTCGGCGGCCTCTGCTGGCGTCGCAGCAAGCACTGTGTGTAAAGAGTCGGCACAGCGCACATTCATTAAGCTGGCAACCGTGTGGCGAAGCACACGTCGTAAGGAAAAGCTTTCAGTTCAATCGACGCGAAGTGAGATGAACCGATAACTCGAGGCTGATATTTTGTGATTAATTTATTTACGTAGACGTCAGAAGCAGCGGCAAAACAAAAGCAAAGCGCGCGCGTGTTTTTTTCCCTCTTTACTTTCTGCTGCACTTTCCGATGAAGTACGCAGTACGCGTTTAAGTAAAAACGAAAAAGAATCTGAAAGAAATTAAAAGACAAAGCTAAAAGAATTATTAAGTAAACTTCATAAACGGCGGGCCTCAATAAACAACGCAAAAAGAAGCTGGCAGTTGCGGCGTCACGTCTGACGAATGTTTAACCAGACACAACTGTCGAAGGCTTAGACAACAATATACATATGTATATACATACATACATACATATATAGAATCATTTAAATATATTGAAAGTAAGAAATGTGCTAGCATTATAACAAACGGTCTATATTATACATCTGGTTATTCAATATCTTCTGACAGATCGCGTTGCAGAATACTCAGACGAGGACGAGGAAGGCGAATTCAGTTCAGGTGAATTCAACGACGAGTCCAACGAGCTGGCCATCACCGGCTACGACCAGAAGCGTGACTATAATCCGGCCAAGCATGATATGCGCAAGTATCGCAATAAGCTGCAAAGATCGGGCATTGAGGATATCGCAATAGTTGGCCATCATCCGCATCAGCACCATCCCGTGGACAGTGACAGCGAGTTCGAAATGAAGGACAAGAGCTCATCCCGTGCCAAGTTCAGTCGGGTGAGTCACAACATATCCAATATAAATAGCGCACATAGATATATGACACATGCATATATAAATATGTGTGCGTATATCGTGTAAGCCTTAACAGGTGTGCCCTAATTTGTCCACCCACCTATATATTTAAAATAATTGTTTTGCCCGTTTGACATGGCCACAGTCAAGGGCACTTTCTCTAAAGCGACCGATTTCTGTTCATTATGCAGTAAACAAATAACAACTTTACTTATCTTTAATAAACAAAAAATTAAATCGAAGAAAAAATAACCACTTTAGATTACACACCTTTGCCATAAGGTCTTTAATTAGATTAAAATCATTTGATAAGTTCCTTGCTTGAGTAACTTGCTTAAAAGTTTATAAGTATTAAATATTAGAGAAATTTTCCCCTAGCAACAATATTATATTCACGATATTTATAACTGAATGTGTGGTGACATATATTAAATATATTTCATCAGGATAAAGGTCATGCTTATAACAGAAAAATAATATATAATACTTATATTTATTCAAAAAGTTAGACTTTGTCTAGCTTTATCAGAGCAAACATGGATCAGCTAAAGTATTTTTATCAGAACAAAAGTCTGATATATAATAGAAAAATAATATTATAATAATAATAAATTATAGTTATAAATATCTGTAAAACATTAAACTTTGCCTAGTTTTATGAAATTAGGCATGGGTCATTTATAACTAATGTGTGGCGAATATATATATTTATATATTATATATCTATATATTGTTATAAAGTTAATTTGTATTTTTTTGGTGCACAGCTTTGCTTCTTCTATTCTTTTTTTTTTTTTTTTTTTTTTTATTATGATCGCTCATTTCGCATGGCTGCAATTATCAAAGGCTTTGGTCTGTGACAAGTTGCCAGCCGTAGCACTTGCTCTATATTAGCCACAATATAAATATATATATATATATATACATACAGAAATACATATTATTTTATTCATTTGCAGCTATTGTTGTTGTGGTTGCCTCGATGTTGTTTTCGAAATTTTAAACAGATGACGCAATAATCGGGGCAACAGCATGCAATTATTTCCGTAAAGCAAACACATTTTCGGCATTCTCTCTGCCCAGAGTCCCCCCACTCGCTGCACTTGTGGCTAAGACATTGCATAGCTCTAGATAGGTACTATGTTTAGGTGCAACTAAGGCATGGCTAGGAATTTGCTATCGAATCTGTTGACAATTGTCGTGTCTGGCCTTGAATTCATTCGCACAAGCCACCAGACTATTTCAGTGCCAGCAACTGAATCGGCCCAAGAATCGTAATACGTTGTTATGCCATTTGGGGTCGCTTAATGCGATTGCCAAACCACGCTGCTACTGCTACTGCTACTGCTACTGCTGCTGATGATGATGATGTCTCCCCATCAGCTGGGGGCCTAACAAGATTTCACTGACGTCTCCAACGCCTTGATTTATGCAATGAATTTCCAATCGCTGCTGCTTCAAATGTCATTAACCAGAAATAGCTGCAAGTGCAGCCGTAGCTTATTGCCAGACTGACTGCATGTAAATTGGATGGCATGAATCAATCTGTGAATGCACTGCGACATGCAAATCGAAAATCAAAGTACAAATATGAATGCTCGACTCTGATATATCCTAGAAAGTTAGTTAATAATAATAATAAATAAAGTCACTAACTTGTTAGCTAAGTTAGACAATATGCTTAGACAAGCATATTTGAGTTATTTTGTCAACTAATTTAAAAGTCTTGGTCTTTACCTAAGCAATTAGGAAATCAACTTAAAATGGTCAATAACAAAGAAACCTTTTTCAACGTATTGTAAGACATACAAATATATTATCATATATTATGTATATAAAATATCATAAATATAATCACACCCCTTAACGTTTGAGTTCTAACTGATATCTGATAAGAAATTTGAAGCTAAATATGTCAACTGATAAATGACCAATAAAATAATTTTTACATTTTGTTACTATACATGCCATATGTACATATTATAAAGCATATTATTTTATATTATTTACTAAGAAGTATATTTATATTTTAGCTTGTGTACAATAGGTAGCCAACAAATTGTGGCTAATCTCAGAGATAACTAAATGCAAATCTTCAGTGCTTCTGATAAGATTAGAAAAAAACGGACGCAGCTGGGGTTCTTGTTGAATGGGGATCAGTGGAACATGCCAATAGCACCGGCATTGGGGCTTGGGTATAATTAGAAAATCAATTTCATATTTTTAATGCGGAAGCAACCCCAGAAGCAACAATATTTAGTGTAGGGGGACACAATTCTTAAGAACTTAAGAGCTCTTATAAATATTTAAGAAACAAGCTAATATAGGGGCCAATTATGAGCTGCAGGCGAACGACTGAAAAAAGTAGCTGACTTATATGATAGGAGCGGAGGAGAAGGTGTTTGAGCAGGAAAAGGGAGAGGCATCGTAGGTGCTCCTCTCGACTACTAGTTGCCGGCACAAAATGACATGTTCGACTGTTACGCCCCTTTTGTGAGCTGGCTACCTGAACAGGTGTAATATTAGACTGCGTCATTTGTTTTCATTGCTGTCAGTATAAACATTGTTGTTGTTGTTGTTGTTGTTGCGCTGCACGTTATTAATGTGTTGGCTTTTATTGCCAGGATCATTTAAATGTCTGTCGTAGATAAAACGATGCTTAATGACTGAGAGAGGGATAGAGAGAGGCGGTAAAGATAGCAATTAAAAAGCTTCTTTTTTGTTTTATTTAAGCAGCACAGCTGCATAAAACTGCTTCACGCATCTTCCTTCAGTTTTGATTTTAACGATCTGTAAGAGCCTAAAGTTTTTATGGCATTAACCCCTAAAGCATTAATATTTAAATTACGACAGGAAAAACTAGTTAACGACTGTGTAGTATAAATAGCCAGCAGATAAAAATAAAAAGAGGTATTAATACATGCCTATAAATAAATATATAAATATATATATATGTGTATTATATATATACATATATATATGTAAATATGTTCATGTTATATTTATTATATTATATATTTATATGTACCTCTAGCTATAGTCCTCATTTGCAGTTTTACTTTAAGCTTCGTAGATATATATACATAACATCTCCCACACTGATAAGAGGATTATTGAAGGAAATTGTTTTTTATATATTTAACTCATTTAAAATAGCTCAGACGGGTATCATGCTTTAAGGCCAACGTATGTAACAGCCAGAAGAAGGTGTGCTAGTAATGCACTCCAGTCTGTGCTCAGTTTCTCCAGCAGGAGTTGGATAACCCTTAGTAATGAGTGCGAGATGCGCAACTCTATGCATTCACAGTTATTCAATCAAATATTTGCTATGCTAGGACGGCTGCAGGCAGTTAGAGCGCAGTCGCTACATAAAATGCGCAGTTGGGAACTTTACGTGTGTGTGCGTATGTGTGAGTGCAAGTATATTTAGTCAATTCACTATTATTAGGATATATCACACTTGTGTTTACGTACCAAAATTTACCAAGCAATTAGTTTAATTGAATATTTGACTAACTGTAATCAAATTTAACTTGTTTCTTCCTTTTTTCAGACAATTTCACTGCAGCAACGCAATTTTAAACAGAAAATTGTCGCACTGTTGAAGCGCTTCAAGGCCAGCGGGGAGCTGGAGGATGAGGCACATAGTGGCACTGCTGCATTGCGTGGGGAGCGCGACTTGGACGCCCTCTTTCAGGAGCTGGAGTCGTTGTCCTGCTGCGAGGGCGATGATTCCGGGCCGGACATGGACAGCATATCGATTGGATCTACGCCGAAGCCATCGCTGCGTCCGTTCTTCACCAACTCGCGCATCATGCTGCACGACAGTCTCTCGGGCAATGGCAGCGGCGCCCCAGGCAGCGGCGTTGGCGGTGTAATGGGTAAGTGCTGATAAACATCAAATAGTAATTCATGTTGGTTGTGTTCGTTGTTGCTATCGTTGTTGCATTTTCACGGGAGCATTGCTCCAGTAATTTCAAAGTAATTGACGAGTTGTCTAATCTTAATATTTTTATTGCTCTCTATGGTAACATTTTAAGTACTGACACTAGCGCAAAATAACTCCTATTTCCGTTTGAGATTGCGAACCGAAAAAGTGTCTTCTGCCGAAAAGCAAGCAATACTTTTTTTGCACGCCCACCAGCAATCGAAAGTTGATATAGAGGGTATATTACATCAGATCAAGTGGAAGAATAAAGCATGTCCGATAGCTTCATTTCAGTATCAACAGCTGGTTCAATATAGAGTTGATTAATAGGAATACAGAATGCATTGATAATACACATTAAAAATTATACAAATCTTTTGCATTTCCCTCAAATATTAAAATTGCAAGGTATCATCGCTTCGAATAGCTCAATATTTTGTCCGCTTTCGGTCAAGGCAACGTTTGGTGCGAAAATAAACAGGAGCACGTTTTATACCCACACACACAGACACCGATACTCACACACACCGATACTCACACAATTGCAAGGTCACATAGAAACAGAAAGAGAGAGCGAGAGAGAGATTGAACTTCGTCAGATGGACTCTTACTTGCAGTCAATGCAGTGGACCATTTGTCCAACTGTGACGGCTATAGCATATTGTACATACATATGTAAATACAAATAGATAAATAAATACCAATACACAGAAAGCAGAGAGGCCTGAAAATGAAAAGGGAGCGTAATTGGAGGCAATGCAATACAATTACAATTACAGTTACAATTAATTTTGATTCGTTATAGTTTTGCCTTATTTTTAATTAACAATTTAAGTACTGACACTTATTCGATTGGAAAGCTTAATTGTTTCCCATATTTATATTTAATACACAAACAAAGAAAAACCAAAACATTTTGCATGGCTTGTACAAATTTCTTTTGCAGGAAACTCTGAGCGCCGATCATCGGATAAGAGCGACCAATTGACCAATTCATCTTACAATATTGAATATAACAAAAACCAAAAAAGCATTCATTTAACAAACAATAATAATTCGGCTACAACACCAGGTCTGTGTAAACTGCAGCAAAACAAAAGAGCAAATCAAATTACAAAATAATTATGCAAATCCACACTTAATACCCTCTAACTGTATAACACGAATAATTTAAACCCCTATGGCTCCCCCATGCTCCCGACTTCCGACCCCCCATCCGCAGCTACAAAAATATACAAAACATACCCACATTTCCTGCACACATACATTCAAAACTCACCAATCCAATCCAATCAGAATCAAGTACAAGGCACGTTTGATATATGAGTTGACTGACTGACTGACAGACTACATACATATGTATGTGTGGTAGTGACCATATCCAATGTGAACTGTACTTGCGCAAGCAAACGAACACATTAAAAACTTTTGATTTGTTATGTTTATTTTTAAAATTGAAATCCTTGGCCTGCCGCCCCATTACGCACGCCCTTACTCACTCACACACCCACACAAGCACACGCACACAAAACTTAATTCACACGCGAGCACACACACACACACAGAGGCAGGCTTACGAATAAAATCGCACTTGAATGTGCAGTGTGACCGTGCATCGGCTGCTGTTATTTGCATGAATGGGAAGTGCTGTAAATGTTGTGACGTCACAAAAATGCAAATGGGCCGTGGTAATGTTCAAGAAATTAAATTAGAGTTCATGCTGTCCTATCAAAATTATGACACGAAAAAAAAAATACATAAGCTATGCATGCTCGAGCGCTTTTAGCCCAACAAAAAGAAACAGAACATCAATTAATTCATGCGTTTGTTTATTTTTAGCAAAAAATGCTTTTGTTTTTGTTTTTTTGTTGTTTTCAATTAATAAACACACTAAAAATACATTAAACGCACCCTTAATCACATCGTCTATGCTACTGGCCATTTGCCACCTCTCTTTTAGCCTTTTCATTGCATGTCGAGTCTTGTCCCCCAATTGAGATTAATTGCGACATTGCTAAGAATACTCAAGTGGAGCACGCTATACAAGTAAAAATAAATATACAGTCCAAAGGTGTTTAACCAGCATACACTTTATGTATGCACATACATACATATACACTTATGTACATGTGATAGCACAAATACGTACGCCTTGGGCTAGGGGTAGTAAAAAGTCATACCTGTGTATATTTACGAACGCCGCATTTATTATTTATTTACCAATTTAACGTCGTCACATACGCACTAGAGCACCTTGGAATGAACTTCATATGTATATCCCGATAGTCCGCTGTGCAGGGGTGGATCGGAGGGGAGTGGGTGGGAACGTCTGTTGACATTCCCAGTTACAGCCTGCATGCATAGTAATAGCTTTTCTTTTTTGATAAATCGAGTTTTAGTGCACCTTACCTAGCGCAATAAATCCTCAATTCCCCCTATCTGGCCTGCGAATCGAATATCGATTTCAATCTAACTTTAATTCAACTTTTCTTTACTTCCTACACAGATCGCGCTGGCAACGATAGTTCCGGCAACGAGGGCAATGCCGGCTACACCGATGGCCAGAACTCTGATCCCCAGAACAGTCCACCCAGGGACAAGGATTACATGCGCCAGCAACAGTATCAGCAGCTGACACCAGTCAGCTCCGTCACGGGCAACATGAACAGCATCAGCCCGGCGCAGGCACAGACGGAGAAGCGTTCGCGGCTCTTTCGCACATCAAGCAATACGATGGCTCTGGGTAGTGCCAGTAACGCGAGCATTGGGAACAACAGCAATGCGGTGGTCAAGCGGAAGCACACTCTCAGCCTGAGCGCCGAGCCGCGCTCCGCACTGGAGGCTTGCCTGTCGCCCACAAATGTGGAGCCGCGCAAACTGTTGCTGGATCAGCTGAGCCGCGTGTTTGCCGGCGATGATAATGTCATACCCGAGGTGGTGACCATCATTAGTCCGCCCGAGGCTCTGGGCGGCAGCACGCTGCTGGCTAAGCTCGTCACATTGTTTGCCAATTCCTTTAAGCCGGCATTTGTGCCACAGAACACGGCCGAGGTCAAGGCTGTGCTCCAGGCGCTTATGGCCAAGATCCAAAAGTAGTAAGTGAACATCCGTTAATAGTTTTGAGCTGCAACCATTTAACATCTCTCTCTCTCTCTTCCACCTAATCCAACCAGTTGCAACTCGAACGCCAAGCCACCGCACACAGTAAAGGTGCTGCTGATTGGCGGCGACTGGCTGCAGGGCGCGACACTGCGGCATTACGTTGAACTGCTGGGCGTACGTCCACCCGACTGGCTGAATCACTTACGGTTCTATCTGGTGCCCATTGGCGGCGGCAGCAGCAACGGCAGCGTGGCTCGTCATCTGAGCCAAATGGATCAGGCTTACGCCGCGATGTTCGGTTCCGAGAACTGGGCGCAGCTGTGCGAGCGTGCGGCAGCCACAGCGGCCGCAGTCAGTGCGGTGACCACAGTCAATGCCACAGCGCTGACGGCCAATCTGGCTGATGCGGGCTCCGTGGCCAAGTCGGACATAGCGGAGCTGGTGCAGCGTATACAACGCTATCTGCATGCGGCGGGGCCGTGCACACAGATTCCGATTGCGGAGGCCATGGTCAACTATAAGGACGAGGACTCGTGTCAAATCTTTGTGCCCTTTGTCAGCGTAAGTACAACGAGGATAATTCAAGTGTTTCATCCACATTTAAACATTTTCGTTTTGGCTGCAGGACGTACGTATTGGCTACCTGGATACGCAGGCTTCGCTGGACTTGGAGGAGAACGTCACGTCCAATATGACTGGCAGCGGCGGTAGCGGCAACTCCACGAACGCTTCTAGCAACCCCATACCCATTGGTAATCAGAGCAACACGAGTATGCACGGCGGTATATCGGGCTCGCCGCCGCAGTCGCAGCAGCCACAGCAAGGGGGCCAGGGCATGGGGCGCATATCACCACCGCTGCAGACGCCGCCAGCGTCGGGCATGACGCATCGCGAGCGAGGTGCCAATGAGGCGCTGATAACGCCCTCGCAATCACAGACTTTGAGTGGAGCGCTGTCCGCACCGGAAGCCGTCGAGCTGCAAGTGGACTTTTGGCCGATGGTGCGGCATGGCGAGGTGCATGCCAAGGAGTCAAAGAGCGGCATGTCGCGCGGCAGTGATGCGGGCGGCGGAAAGAGTAGCATTAAAAGTACGTTTAGGAGTCTGCAGGTGTGGCGCCTGCCGCAGAATGCACAGCAAATGGGTGATATGTCCAATGGACTGACTGTTAGTTTCGCCACCAAGGAGAAGAAGCAGAAGCAAAGTAAGTGGCCCAAAAGATAAACCATATTAATTTCTAATACACTCAACAATTATTCAATCTACAGTTATGCGATTGGGCAAGAAAAAGGACAAGGAGCGTGATCTCGAGAAGGAGCAGTGCGTCGAGGGTGTCGCACGTCTAATATGCTCACCGAAGCAGTCACATCCCGTGCCGCTGCGTGGTAAGTGTTGCCTTTCGCTAATGAGACTTATAATGTTTATAATGATTTTGTTTCTCACAGTTTATATTGACGGCACCGAGTGGACTGGCGTCAAATTCTTCCAGTTATCGTCACAGTGGCAGACTCATGTAAAGAACTTTCCCATTGCCCTTATCGGCTGTACGCCCATGTCGTGTGCAGAATAAACCTAGTCAAACAAATACCCAATGCCCATTCTCATGCAGACTCGCTCGAACGCGAACAGACACATGCAAACATACAGAGAGCAAGGGAGCCGTACGGATGGACGGCAATTAATATTATTTACTAAGAAGAATGATAATTTATTTTATAGTTAATATTTGTAAATTTTTAGTTAATAAACTACGTATAGCTTCTAATGTTCTTTTAAGTCTACAAAACGCAAACTTTGTGAATTTATCAAAAACCTCTCGACTTATGACACAAGCATCACACATCAATATTCAATAACTAAAGAATTATAATACATAATACAGAAATTATAGAATCCAAACGTTTAACACTTGATCAAATTAACACGTATCAAATATCCTGTACAAGTAAACCTTATCTATGTAGTTGCAGTTGCAAGAAATCAATTTCTCAAATCAAGTTTGTTAACCAGGTCTATTGAACAGTTGACCAAGTGGTTTCGTTTGCAAACAGTTTTTAGATAAGCTTGTTCTTTAATCTAAACAGGTGCTAAACAAGAGTCAGGAGCATTGCCAGAAGAAGGGCTCTAGACTAGGCCACATGATCTCAAGCACTCTCTGCTCTTAACACAGCAACAGCGGATTGTAGTATATATACTCTGGCATTATCCAAACTAAACTAAAGAAAACAAAACTATCGTAAATATATAAATGATATTCAGCATACTCTAACTACAACTGCTTAGCAATGTGAATGCATATTTAACCAACCCGTCGTCTATATACTATCTAAATTCAGACATTATCTGTATGTGCAACTAAATATCTACTTATACAATACTTATATATATATATATATATATATATACCTTTATATATATATACCTATCTAATCAGCATATTCTAGCATATGTACTACTCTTATTGTTGTGATTTTTCAAAAATTCATAGTGCGAACAGCCGATGCAAAGATTGTACAAGTTAATATATGTAAGCAATTATATGCGTACACTATATAGAAAAGATATGTAATGAATCTGTTTCAAAAACAATGTACTAATGGGGTGCGAACGTTGATCAATTTAATATGAATGTCGAAAGCGTTGCGAATGAGTGCGAAATAACGTAAAATTAATTCAAGTTTAAGATGTGTAATTTATAATTGTATTATTAAATATATATATATATATATATATATATATACATATATATAAAATTTAAAGACAGATCGAAAACAGTTTTATTTGTCAAAGACGCGGGATCATTGCAATTGCAGCATCAACGCACTTGAACCACTTGATATGGCAGATTGGTGACCACAATGGAACGTTTCCTAAGGCCTTGGTCACCGTCAATGCCGCCAGGTGGCAGGAGAAATGTGAGGTCTTCGTGGCCCTTGGGCTGCGCAAATTCCACAAGATTGGCATTGCTTTCGCTTAAGGCCGCCAAAGACCAAACAGCCAAGTTTCGTGTCTTGCCATGGCGTGCCACCACGTAGAACTGTAAAAGGTAAACATTATTAATTTGCATATTTAATTTAATTCAATAATATCTCACCTTATCCAGGTCATCAATCAAATAGCCCACAATAAGTGCCCAGTGAGCGCGATGGCCAGATCTCTGGCAAGGCGCATGATTGACATCGGCATCATAGCTGAATATTCAAGATTTATGTCTAGAATTAAGGTTAACCAAAGTTTCGTACAAATTCTCTTAATTGATACACATAATCGGTAGCACTTTATTTCAAGCAATATTAATACAATTTGAAAAATGCAGCATCTATCCCTTCCACTCCCACTCATCATCTACCCCACTCGCATAGGAGGCGAGACCAGTATAACGCCGTCCCCTCGCACAAATAGCATGGGAATGGTGCGTTTTGTGGTCTTGTACACCTCTTCGTACGTTTCTTCATCGATTTCAACGGTGGTTACTGTTTCCTCAGCATCGCCTAGGACCATATTCAAGTGCTGGTCGAACGCGTGTAATCGTCCTCTCAATTCCCGCTCATTACGCATTTTTACGTACACTTTCTCATCCAAGCTGAGGCGAATTAGGTCTAGCGGCTCTTTGACCGGCAAAATTACCTGGCTGAGCTGCAAGTATACAAGTTAGCCCGCTAATGCTTTAGTTGCTGTACTTAGGTACCTGTTCCTCTTCAGTTGCCATTTAAACAATTAAAATCAATAGGTTCACAATAAATTAGTAAATTATAAAAATATCGTGGAAAAACGTAAATCGTTTTCTTGTTTCCTTTTTATGTACTAAATAATACCGAAAGTTAGTATATTCTGAGTAGCACCACACGCGCTACCAGTGCTGCCCATAAACATACTGAACCAATTGCTAGAGAAAATATTTTTTGAAAAGGATACGGAACCAGTAAACACGCTCCAGAGCATAGTTGCTGCTTGATCTGGTCACAATCTAAAAAGCCTTCATGAAAATGGCATGTCAATGGATTGCTTACATGCTTCTGCACCAATTCGTATAAATATTGCGCACTGAACATTTCGCCATTTATTGTGTATTTTTGCGCACTGGCATCTGCAAGCAATTCTGCAGCCGTTGGCTGTCCATTAAGCAACATACTTAGCGCTGTCAATCCACAGGTGGGTCCTATCTGCCAATTGCACAGTTAAGAAAAGAATCTACACATTGTGCATATCGGGATTGCTAACTTGTAGGATGCTGTCGATGGGAGTATATTGGCATCTCTTGGGCTGTGCGTACTGACAGACTCGACTAAGAAAACAGCCCTTCTGTAGTTCAGGGTAGTTCAATGCCCAGCTGCACTCATCGTTGGTTAATCGCGGTGCAGGAACTTTATCTTTTTCTAAAGCTGTACGGAAACTGCTCAAGGTAGCTTGTAAAGGTGGTGGGGGCGGCGGCAGAGGTGGAACAGACGCGGATTCAGACATTTTGAGCTAAAATTTAGCGACGAGACTACTGCGCGGAGTTAAGAAACTTACAATAACAAATTAACAGCTGATTTCAGGCGACTGGCAGCACTGTTCTTAAAAAATGATCTGCCAACTTGTCTAAAAACCAAATGTCAAGCGCTTCGTGTTTGAATATACAGAGCAGTCAATAACCCTTGACTGCACCTCGAAGACTGCAAATAACTGTCTTTTACTGAAAAAAAAGAAAGAAAAAAACGAGAGCGTTTTTCAGTTGTTTTCCTAACCAGAGCTTAAAAAATACAACGTTAATCAGATATTGGCGATCTATGCTTTAGAGCACTAAAATTTATTAAGAAAAGCCGAAATTGAAACTGTTTAATATATAATCCCGTTGAAGGGCAGGGATTTCCTTGGTTAATTTTTTTTTTTGCAAATGCATATTCTTTGTAGATTGCTTGGTGGAGATAAAGCGAAGCACAAGAGCGTTAAAGTGTGTATATACGATATGAAAAAGCTTTTCATTTGATCGCACGCTTAGTTCAATAGTTTAGCTTCTATTCGCTTCCTATAACTGCTCAGCTTTTATGGCGTTGTACAAAAAAAAAGTTTATCAGGAATGCAATGCATTCAGTCGAGGGTAATGAATGTACGATGAAAGTTTATTTTCTATCATCCGCGTTTGCCGTGGCTCAAATTTCTACAGATGAGTCTTCAAATATTCTGGTTACTTACTTATTTTTATTTAATGAAAGTTCATTGCTTTTAGCGCTGTAAATGATACTAGATATTCCACTGATTTGGGATACAAATTATTTATTAACTTATTTATTCATTGATGGACTATTAAATTACATGTACTGTGATTGGCATTGGTATTGATTACTCAGCAAGAACAAAATTCGTGGAAACTCATATCATTACCTTTTCAAGTTATTTACTTTGCAATTATCTCCCTTGAAGATTGATACCTTTCGTTACGCCCATTGTCATATTTTTAATATCAACCCATTGAAAATTGGAAATCAGGGTATAATGGTTTTGTTAAAAGGTATGTAACAGGCAGAAGGAGGCGTGGCAGACCCCATAAAGTATATAAATTCTTGATCAGGGCGACGAGCTGAGTCGATTGTCCGTCTGTCTGTCTGTCCGTACGTCCGCCCGTCTGTCTGTATGTTTGAATGCGTCGATTTCAGAAGATATTAGAGCTGGAGACTTCACTTTTTTTTTTTAATGTCCGTATATACAGCGCGGATATCGAGCTTATCACCAAAAATCGATAATTCATCCCGTTATTTCTTATCGATAAAAAACCTTATTGAAAATCAGTTTTAAAATTATATCTCCTACATCTTTAAAGCTAGAGTCTCCAAATTTTAAATGTGTACTTATATGCATTTTATACAATTTCGGTTTTTGTTAAAATTGTCTCCAACCTTTATATCCACTCCCTCACCCACATATTTTTAAAAGACGTATTTCAAATATTAGAGAGGGGGTTCAGGGGATCTCGTAGTCGAGCAATTTCTACTAGATCTTTCTTACTTGTTTAAAAGTGAAATGCATCTAATTTAAATGATTCCTAGTTTGAAAGATTCGCTGGACAGCTGTCTAATCAACCTGATCCCTAGAGTTTGTGGAAGGGTGAAATTGAACAGGAATTAAAAAGCCTGACTTCTTTAAAATTGCGTAAAATTTCTCTTTTCGCTCAGACTTTTTACCAGCATTTAGAAAAAAGGTACATTTATTTTTAAAATTAGTTTAAACTTCTAAATATTACTAATCTAAATACAACAGCATTTCTTTTTTTGATTTAGTCCATCCATTTCTAGAGTTGTAGGAAAATCTGCTTCGCTTAGCCCCCTTTCCTGTGCATAGTCCATAGCCAATTTAGAAGCTATTCTGAAAGCGTCTTCCACGTGTCGGCTATCTTTTGCTGAGATCTCGAAATGAGGTATATTGTTGTTCAGCTTACACCATTGGCGGACTTCCTCAGCTGATACCTTGACATGAATTAATATACAATTTATAATTACTTCAATTATTAATTATTTATCTCTGAGACGAACATTATAATCATTAAGATCAGCTTTATTCCCAATCATGACAAAGGGAAAACGCGTAGTGTCTATTGGACTGATACTTTTTAGGAAATCAGTATGCCACATATCTAAATTTGTAAATGAGTCTGGCGAAGTCACATCGTAGACGAGCACGCAGCAATCCGAGTCGCGATACATGTTTGCGGCGATTGACTGAAACCGCTCCATGCCAGCCGTGTCCCAAATCTTGAAGCAAACTGTGAAACTTATGAAAAGCATAAAACTTCGAGTTTTCGCTTACCTGCACTGAGATAATACGACCATTCAAATTAACATTTTTCATAACAAGATCCACTCCAATCGTCGCTTGGCAACTGCTTGTATATCGTTCATTGGCATAACTCTGAATCAAAGTTGTTTTTCCAACGCAGCTATCCCCCAGAACGACGATTTTATGAATGCGATCTGGCATGATTTTGTTTACTGACTTTAAATTGATTGCCAGAATAAATGAATGGAAATTATATTAATTAAATATGTATCTTAATTGTTAATATTAGTTGTATAAGGAACATTTTTTTGTATATATGCATACATACATATGAAAATTGCGTATATATAACGAACTAAAATATGGATTATTATCATGACTGTTGAAAATGGGAATTCATAGATTCTGATCGTACACCCAAAGAAATATTTTTTTAATTAATCCTAAACATGGATATTGTAAGAACGGTGCGTATCCGCAACTTCCTTAAATAATCCTTTCTTTTTCTTTTCATTAGGTTCCTGTAGCATTCATAAAAGGGAATGCTAGTTCATTCTTACAATTTCGAACATTTCTTCACGAGCAGATATGCCTCAACTGAGCAATAATACCATGACAACTTATGCTCCTGAACATTTTCGATTATTACGGCAGTATTTGAAAGGAATATCCGCTCTTCTTCATATCAATTAAAAAGTATATTTATCTTTTTTTCTGTGTGCCGTGTGGGACAGAATGGAAATCTAAAAATCAAAAATGGGGCAAATATTACAGAAAAGCTGTTACGTACATGATCATTATTCACCATAGCTCGCAAATAACTGTTAATACTTTTTCGTTGTCTGCAAATAAGTGTCTTTCACTGACACAATCAAAAACACTCAGACAGAAACTGTTTTTGTCGCGTCTGGCTTAGCTCGCTCGCGCTCTGAGGGAGACAGTTATTTCTGTTTTCGTTTCGCTCAAGTCAAACACTGATCGTTTGCTTGAGTTAAATGAAGCAAACTGTCAGTTGCGTTTGTATGGGTAACCACGCGCGATTGTTGCGTTCATTTGTATGTATGTATGCATGTATTTACATGCACACGAAGGCAAAGACAATTTCTGTTGAGTTTTTTAGTCAAACTGTTTTTTGCAGAGAATCTTTGTGTGAGCGAAAACCGTATTACTGTTTACACGACACTCATGTGAGAGCGTCACACGAATGAGTCATTGCATTGCGTCTGACCGAGACAGATTCTAAAGAAAACCAAGAGTGTCGCTCAGAGCTAGTCGTGTCTGCACAATTTTTTCGGTTATGATGCGAAGCAGAGCATAAACGAAAAAACGATCAACTCTCATTTGCGAGCTCTGTTACTCACTCAATACTATATGGAATTTGCTGAATAAACAGACATGAAATTTGAAGTGCACAAGAAATCAACTTAAAAGCTATATAAATATATAACTGGAATGCTAAACTGATGATAGCTGACCAAAATTGCTGCATATATAAATATTTACAATTGCAACATAAATTTAAAGCACTTGTATGATAACTTTTCATTTCAAATATAATAAATTCTCACCCGATGTTTTTATTCCACCAGTAGCTTTGCTGCAATGAACTTACAATAACTGCTCAGCAATCACTAATCGATAAAGATTTTGCCTTACCTTACCTTACCTTTGAAGGTACGAGCTTTCCCACTGCAGAAATATAAAACATTATCAGGAATCCAAAGCTTCGTGGTCGAGCGTAGGTGCAGTGAATGTGCATACCCTTCAGTCTTACTAAATTGAACACTGCTGAGTAAAGTACTTAATATTAAATAATTAATAAGTCGGATCTTGGAAAGATTTAGCTTTTTAATTATAAAATCAATCTGATTAAGATGCATTAAATTTGGAGCCTTCTTTAAAACTAAACTCGGACTTCGGTACATGAATACTGAGGACACAACGTATTATTTATCGATATCTGCATTTTGATTTAAGATAAAGATATTAGTTTTTCATTGCCAGAATAAATATATTTAGCTTTCAATTTATTTACTTCAGCAAGTAAATAAATATACAATCTGAAAGCGAAGCTCAAAACCTCTTGGCATGTGAACGAACTATATAACTATAGTATAAGAAAAACTTTACCCCTATAAAAAGTGCCTATAAACATTAAATGTTGCTCTACATTCATTCATTCTCCAACACAAAATGAGTTTAGAGCAATCCAATGTTTACTCAAAGCATTGCATGTTTGTAGATTTTAGCATTGTTTATTATACAAATTAAACCAAAGGCATGGAGATGTTAAATAAAAAGTATATGAAAATTACATAATATATAGTATACACGAAAGTTGTGTATGTATTACCAAACAGAAGCAATTTATAATACTCTAGGCCTTACGAAATGAATTTCTTAAATTTTTTGCTCAAACTTATTAATTTTGATAGCGGAGCTGAACTGAGCCAATAAAGTGCCGATCGGATCGAATGTTCTGAATAGTTTATAAAATTAATTACAATAAAAATGTATATTTTTGTTTTATTAAATTTACAATCACAAGAATTTTTTTTTTTTGTGTTCGAGGATAATTTGTTATTGGTGATTCTGATGTTTGTTTCCTGCAACGGCAGCATCGGTTGCGTGCTATAATTTTACTAATGACAAAATAGTACTAGGAGGGCATGCACAATATGTAAAAGTTATTTAAATGATTGGTAAACACACAATTTAGCATTCTATCATATTATTATACCTATGCTCAAATTGTTTTACTTAAACTTATAACCTTGCTGTTGTTCATCATATTAGCTTTTCATACTCATTTTCTGTTATGTATATTATTTATAATGTAGATTGTGTAATTATGCACGTTGCGTTGTATTCTTTTGCTGCAGCTCATCATAACATATAGTAATATTAGCATTGACAATTGTCAGCGTTGCTTGGACGATTGTTTTCAGAGTTCAAGCGTAGTTGATCGGGGAAATCGTTTATAAGTTCAGCCTGAAAATAACGAGAGATATAACTTGGCTATTGATTCAAGCGTGGATCAAAACATACCTCCGCCTCCTGTTCCAGAGCATTCTTAGCTATGGTTTGAAACGCCATCTCAACATTGATTCCCTCCTTTGCTGACGTCTCATAATAGGGTATATCGTTTTTCGATTGGCACCACTGCTGCGCACGGCGCGTAGATACCTGAAACAATCAAACAAGTTTGCATAAATAAACAAATAGATTCTGACCTATATAAACCTCTTAAGAAGTCTTTTCATATAAACAAAATAGTTGTATTCGATTGCAATATATAATAATTAGCTTTTGCAAATCTGATGTATAAATACTGAGCAACACAATATGCGGTTTTGAGCGTGCGTCGGCCATTAACTATATATAATGCTAAATGATTTCCTCAGATATAATCTTTATCAAATTATTTGTATACTCACTTGGCGATTATCTAAATCCACTTTATTGCCCAGTACGACAAAGGGAAAATGCTCTGGATCCCGTGGACTGGCCTGTATTAAAAATTCATCTCGCCACGAGTCCAGATTCTTGAATGAGTTGGGCGCCGTCACATCATAGACAAGGACACAACAATCCGCACCGCGGTAGAAGGCCACGCCAAGTGATTGGAAGCGTTCCTGGCCGGCCGTATCCCAAATCTAGAAAGTAGACCAAGCATTCAGCATACCATTTATATATAAACAAAATTATAATTATGGCTATTTGCTCACCTGCATTGTAACTACTCGGTCGTTAACAACAACCTCTTTCGTACAAAAGTCCGCTCCGATCGTTGCCTTATACTGATTAGAGAATCGTTTGTTTACATATTGATTCATGAGCGACGTCTTTCCAACGCTGCTGTCGCCTAGTATGATAACTTTCAACAAAGATTTCTTTCTGGTGGCCATGTCGATGTTTTTTCCTATTAGCTTTTAAATATTCTCACTGCTGCTGTTGCCTGAAATAGACAATATATATCGATCTGTTAGTTAAAAATATACTTTTAACTTATTTGACTTAATCTAATTACACGCTTATCTCGAACGCCTCGGATTACCAGCACGGCAACACAAGCCGAAATTGAGTTCTAATGGGAGCATTGGCATGGGCATGAACATGGGTATGTCGATGATTAAATGATAAATTCTGATTTTACACTACGCAAATGACTCATGAACACTGAACAATGACTGACCGTTGAACGGAGTACACGGAAGTAGAGGAGGGGTGTGCGGAAGCCCGCATGGAAGCGATAATAAAATAAATTACGAATGATAGGAGGTATGCGTAGCGGAGAAAGTGATGATGACAACAAAGAAGATGTGGTGTATTTAAGTGAACCAAAATTCACAATGTACACTCGCAAAAGCAAGTTATGCAGGCTGTAAAAACATGATAAACAATAAATAGTTGAAGGAAAACGCCCATATTTATCAATGCAAGGATGCTGAATAACATTGAAAACAATTACAATAAACACTTCTACAAACAAAATGGTGCAAAACTGAAAAAATTGCCATCATATCTTCCACCCGTCCCGTGTTGGACCCACAAATGACTTGTTTTTGCGCACTACTACAATAACATGAGCATTTATATGTACGTATGTATGTATGTTTTTCTCTGTTTGAGCTCCACTGGCATTTTCCACACCGTTGCTGCTGCGTAACACTATTTTTCAATGAGTTTTTGTGTCAAGTAGCGTTGGATTTCTTACTTTACAATATATGACAAGCACATTTAGATCGACTTACTTTATTAGAACGTATTATTATTGTTTAAACGCAATTTATTTCTACTGAACTACGCAGTTAATTTTTTTTTGTTTTCTACGAATTTTGGTCAATATGAACTAATTAATCGATATCGCGACTATCCGATATCCGATGAGCTACAATTCTGTTAACAGAGCGCTTCAAATTAACATTTTAAGAAATTGATTTTCGATTGCAGAAGCATTCTCATTTCGATTACAAATCTTTGTATTTGTAATTTTTCACTTTTAACATGTGATATTTGTTGATTCTAAATTTATTATATTAATTCCATCTCATTTCGAAAATTATAATCCAAATCATACAATCCGATGATTAAAGCAAACTATTGCAGGCATATGAATATCAACAACACTACCAGCTCTAACTTTACACATATTAAAATTATACTTGCCATTGGTCACACTGCCATAACGAAAAACAAAATAGATTGTAACAATTTTAGCCAGAACAATAAATAAAACACAAAGTGTATTTCTCAACAAATTGAGTGTGTGGAGTGGGTATTCTTTTAAGATATCACAATAAAAGTAAACATGGCAACATTACCGCCACGCAAGAACCAAACACCAACTCGTATCTGCCAAGCCATGAAGCCACATTTGACTCCGCTCCAGACGTTGCTGCAAATGGGGTTCCCAAAGCATAGAGCGTAGGTATCAGCGTAATGATTTATCTTCTATTTGTTTAAAAGTAGACGCTAAAAAACTGAAATCGTCACACCGATATTTATTGATTTTTTTACCTTACCCCAACTCCCCAACAGTGAAAAGGCCCTAGCCTCTACCGGCAATAGAGGCGTACAGATAGCATCTGATTGGCTTCTGGCCCATGTCAATGATGCGACATTGGATGAATGCTCACCACGCGAGTATATCATATATGCGTGCCCAACTGGACCATTTTTGCAGCAGCTGGAGGAGTTCTGGGCAAAATCACGTCAAATGTGTGGCTGGAATGGGGCACACAACTATGTGCCGCACATAACGCTAGTATCATTCTTTAAGGTGAGCATCAGATAAATTATAAATAAATCCATTAAAAAACCCCTATTTATTATTACCAGGCTCCCGACGAATGCTCGCTTCAGCTATCGAAGGCACTTAAGCAAGTCGTAGATATGACTGGTGCTTTGCTGGATCGCCCAATTAAATTGGAGCCATATATGAGCCAGAACTTCATGGGTTTCTTTGTGGCCGAGGATGATGCCAACTACTTGAAACGTCTTGCTTTACAATATGTTAAGGAGGTGTCCAACTCAAGTATGCTGGGGCCCCATTGTACATCTTGTTTGGTTGCAGTTGCATTGTTTCTTTTATTATGGTTTTGCACTATTTAACTGGTTATCTGTTTGTTGCCGATGCCTTCGGTTCGGTTAAATTCTGTTTTGGCGTGGCTTACGGTTTCGTTCTCTTCCTATCTCTTTGCCTGCACACACACACTAACCGTTTGCGATGGACAACAATATTGGTAACGGAGCACAGTTATAAGCGACACTTACGAACAGCTGGACGCCATTGTCGCCTGCTTTCCTTGGTGTGGAGCAGTTTCCTCGGGCACCCGCTGCATTCCGCGCAGCAGTCGATGTAAGCGCCATTAATTTAGCTAGAGTAAACCCTCTCCAATTAGTTCCTTGTTCAATTTTACACTCGCATGCTTAGTATTTGAAATTACGTTCTTCACTCTTGCTCACTAAATGGCTATTTTTACGCGCAGATTATCTTGGGGAAAATTTGCACTTAAATACACATACTAATTACGCCCTTATCAATATATAGTTGTAGAGACTATTACGTAGCGTTTGGACTTAGAAATTGGTCTAACACACTTTGTTACCCGTAGCCATTTCACTCGAGCCACACGTAAAGAGCCTGCACCTGACGCTCGCCTATCAGTTTCCGCAGTCACAATTCAATGCACTGAAATCACTTGTGGAAACCCTCGATGCCAGCTGTGCATCCAATTGGGAGCTGCGTTTGTATTCCCGCGACCCAAGACTGGCCACCAAACAAGTTAGCACAACGCACTGTTCGCATCCACTGGACAATGAAAATTTAATTGATTCTTACAAATTGTAGGTGATGAAAGTAGTTTATCCCCATAATCCACATGAAACGGACGAGCTGGAGCTGCGCATTGGCGACTATATCTACTTAAACAGCGAAGGCATTGATAGTTCGAGCGACGGCTGGGCAGAGGGAATATCTTGGCTAACAGGCAGTACTGGTCATTTGCCAGTTAATTACACGGAGCGCACCGCTGAATCGGATGCCTGGACACTGCATCGAGTGGTTCAGCTTTCAAAGAGTGTTGCATCGTCGCTTAACTCTGCCGAAGATATTGACATTGTTGACGGACGGAGTATATCCATAGAGCCCGAGGAGCGGCAACGAGACTTACAACAAAGTAAGTTGAAACAAAGCTCTTCCAAACTTTCATTCTGTCATTAAAATTTATTTTTAGTCGCACAGCATCCGGAGATTATAGAGGGCTCTTCTTTTGAGGAGTCAGAGCAGAGCGTTGAAAAATACTTGCGCCAGACCTTGCAGCCCTGCCTGGAATTGCCGTCG